TAGATAGATAGATAGATAGATAGATAGATAGATAGATAGATAGATAGATAGATAGATAGATAGATAGATAGATAGATAGATAGATAGATAGATAGATAGATAGATAGATAGATAGATAGATAGATAGATAGATAGATAGATAGATAGATAGATAGATAGATAGATAGATAGATAGATAGATAGATAGATAGATAGATAGATAGATAGATAGATAGATAGATAGATAGATAGATAGATAGATAGATAGATAGATAGATAGATAGATGGATAGAGAGATAGATAGATAGATAGATAGATAGATAGATAGATAGATAGATAGATAGATAGATAGATAGATAGATAGATAGATAGATAGATAGATAGATAGATAGATAGATAGATAGATAGATAGATAGATAGATAGATAGATAGATAGATAGATAGATAGATAGATAGATAGATAGATAGATAGATAGATAGATAGATAGATAGATAGATAAATAGATAGATAGATAGATAGAAAGATAGATAGATAGATAGCTAGATAGATAAATAGATATATAGAGAGGTCGATACATAGATAGATAGAAAGATATATAGATAAACAGATAGATAGATAGATACATAGATAGATAGACAGACAGATAGAGAGAGAGTTAGGTAGATAGATAGATATATATACATAGGGAGATAGATAGATAGATAGATAGATAGAGAGATATATAGATAGATAGACAGTTAGATAAATAGATAGACAAAAAGAGATAGATAGATAGATAGATAGATAGATAGATAGATAGATAGATAGATAGATAGATAGATAGATAGATAGATAGATAGATAGATAGATAGATAGATAGATAGATAGATAGATAGATAGATAGATAGATAGATAGATAGATAGATAGATAGATAGATAGATAGATAGATAGATAGATAGATAGATAGATAGATAGATAGATAGATAGATAGATAGATAGATAGATAGATAGATAGATAGATAGATAGATAGATAGATAGATAGATAGATAGATAGATAGATAGATAGATAGATAGATAGATAGATAGATAGATAGATAGATAGATAGATAGATAGATAGATAGATAGATAGATAGATAGATAGATAGATAGATAGATAGATAGATAGATAGATAGATAGATAGATAGATAGATAGATAGATAGATAGATAGATAGATAGATAGATAGAGAGATAGATATATAAATAGATAGATGCTTAACACGTTGTGTATTTTGTTGTTGAGATAATAAGTCCCAATTACTTTTTTAATTAAAACTTTTCATTCTCTGAATCGTTATAAGTTAAGGAACTTTTGAAAATGATGAAATACTAGATGTACATATATATGGTGTATACATATGATGTAGTGGTTAAGCGATCAGGCACGAGACCGATAAACCATATATATAATTATATATACCATCAGTATATGAAGTAACTGGTTAGCGGTCTTTTAGCAAGATTTTGATTGCTGGATGGGGTTTCCGACTCCATGACCAACACTCCTCCTTTACCTAGGCTTGGGACCAGCAGTAACTCTTCAAGAGCTACATGCTGAGTTAACCACTATCAAAGTCAGAATGTTCAACACGAACGTCAAGACAGTCAATTCTGCTGTGAGGAGCTTGAAACAGTTCTTTACCCAAAATACTCACAATTCATTGGCACGGATACCATCAGCAAAAGCCTACTGTGGGAGAGAACATACCAGCTTCCAACTGAAGAGGTAGTTAGGAAAAGACGATGGAAGTGGATAGGACATACATTACGGAAATCATCAAACTGCATCACAAGGCATGGAAATTAGGAAAAGACGATGCTTAATAGTCAAATTTAGAATCCATGTGTCGATCTATTCGGGTTTCAATGATCAATGATATGCATCTATTACATGTAACTGTTGTTGTACTTATTATGAATCAAACCCAATACTTTCAGTTTAGAACATCAACACGATGTTTGCTAAATTGTACATCAGGGTAGAATTTGATTATTCAACTGTAAAAGTTCCATGACGAATGGAGCTTACTTCATACCATGTTTAACCACTATACAACTTTACCCAGACCCTGTGACTTAATAAAAATATCAGAGTAATCCTCTCAGAAAGTACATACATCAAATCAGATTGACCATCTACTGCATTTAACATAACATCATTTGAACCATCACAAACCAATAACATCAATCAATCACTGATACATCTTGTACTTGAACATGTAAACATTAATTGCTCAACTATTTCATAATCCTCACAAGTCACCCACATTTGAGCTCTAAAGAGGAAACATCAGCAGGACAGTTTATAACAAATTGTACTTTGAAGTCTAGTTTATAAACAGAGAACAGAGGTATCTACAAAGTTATATGTTAGTCCGGGGATTCATAGTCTTAAAAAGCATATTTAAGATTACTACAAGGTGGTGAATATTCGATCAATATAATGTAACGAATAATACCTCCTTGTTTCTACGGTGTCCATGCAACTTGATAAAGAGCGCTAGTTATTCAAAATATCTGTTAACAATCTTCTAGTTCATGAAGACCTTTCTTAATATGTTATAATAAATATATTTCGTATTCAACTCGTTCTAACGTTTCTTCATTCATTAAGTTCATTATAAACAATATCAGTGTAGTACAATCAAATGTGCAGGATGAAAATCTTTACATTTCTTTAATTTTTACAGATTTAATAATAGTTAAAATAGTAGTCAGCCATCAGTATATGCGAATATGGACATTGGTTAGCAATGAAATCCAGGACTAGCGTTTTCTCCTATTTGGGAATCGTCAGCTGGACGTACATGCACCTGAGAATTGGTGTTGTCTGTGGGGCTGGAACTCAGCACAGTTCGCTTCAAATGCTATCGTGTTATCCACCTCGAGTCCCAGAGTGAACATCAACTCTGAGGTGCAAATACATCCAGCTGGTAAGTCCCAAATAGGATGAAGCGCATGTCCTCGATTCCACTTCTAACCACTATCCATCTTTGCATATAATGCTTGTGAATTAAGGCAATATCGAGTTAATATACACAACATGCACATATACTAATAAAAGTTTGATCAGTTACAGTCCTAAACATCAATGGGATGATTCAAACAAACAATACCAAGCGAATTAAGCCATCACTCAATCCAGAAATCCCGAATACTATAGCTGAATGATACTGCGGAGTTCATCAACTAAGCTAATAAATAAACACTGTTATTTAACGACGAAATGATCAAGAAAGAACATTTTTGAAAGTAATAAACGCAATGGAAGTAGTTTCATTATGATAAACAAACTAGGCATCTCATTCATAAAGATTACCAAAGCTTCTATGAAATACAATGTACTTGAAAATAACTCAAAAGCTGTTGTAGAACAATAAAGATTGAAATACTAATGAAACAAATAGTGATGGAATAACAAAACAAACATGATCAGTGAATCAATGGAGTAATCGAGAATTAACGTTTATCATGAGCAAGTTGTGAAACTTGCTATGTAAAATCATGGTACTTATTAATGAAAAGTAGTGTGATGTCACGTTTGTTGTAATAATGAAACAATCATTGTAAAATTCGATTGACTTTCTTAAATAGAACTAGAAAGATTGAAGGATGGAAATGAAAAGAAAATGAAGGTGAATGATTTGAATTAGGATGTCTTTTACTTTTGTATTTCCTGATTGCTTACTCGATCTTCCATCAACAAATACAGTTTAGTTAAGTAAATGAAGTAAATAACTGTATTGGAACGTGATTCTTCATCTCCTCATTCATTCGAAATGAATGAATTCTTACTACACACATAACAATTGTCTATGTTCATTAGTGTTACAATACTTCATTCTACATGTGAAGCTGTTCACTCTAACTCATTCTATGAAAATCACATCAACACAGTACTGCAATGACACGTCTTCGTCATTTCCGATATTCTGTATTGAAAACCACATCAAATAACATCTATCATGGTGTAGTCTGCATTTGGTCTGTTTCACGCCCCTCATCATTTGTTCATATCAAACCTTTTAACCGAATGTTTATGTGAAGAAGTCCCATGCTGTTGATATTACTACTACACACCTAATTTTACAAACTAAAATTCTCCTTGTACGTTATCTAGTATCCTATTGTGCTGCTTAACTTTGAAGAAGCAATTTCACTGTACTGAGAAGAGTAAGCCTGACACTTGTCAGACGTTGTAATAATCATGCTTATGCATAAATATTTTATTATCTTGTAAACAAATAATGGTAAGTTGTATGTTATCAGATACAAATCATTCACTGAACATACACATTTCCCACTCTATGGGGAATGTTGTCTATCTGACGAACAGTTTATCAAAACTGACTTAACCGAAACGCTATACTTATGCATGATCAAGTAGTTAATCTTTGTAAAGATTCATAATTTCTCAAACGAAAATATCATTAAACTAGACATAATGATGTTGTGTACAGGGAATAGGAGAATTGAGTTGGAATATATTGTAAGCTAAGGATTTACTGTTGAATTACATGTTTAATATTGAATGAAGTGATTATTGTTACTAATTACATTCATGAGTTGAATAAACGTGAAATCCAGTCAACATACAATACAACATACGACATACACAATACACATACAAAGATGAAATAATCAACACATAATGAGTGTATTCATTAAATGTATCATTCCAATGACACTTGCCAACATCGTTTCTCACTCACCACATAAATTACAAAACACAAAACAATATGATTTGAATGAAATATATTCAATTATAAGTTATGAGTTACGACTAATTGCTACACACATACATATAGTTGAGTAATATCAACACAAAATAGTCCTGCATATCAATGGAAGTAAGTAATGAGTATAAATTCAGAGAGGGTTTTGGGTTACATAGGTGAAAACAAAGTTGAAAACAGATACGTGAAATAGATATGGAGGCACCAATTATATTTGCCGAATAAATTCAATCAATTTCAGTATCGTACTATTCTACCATTAAA